GAAACACAATTTATATGATTTTCATCCTCTTATATTTACCAAGATTTGTTTTATGATCTGACATTAAGTTTATTTGGAGATGGGAGAGAGAAAGAGAGGAAAATTCCCTAGCAAAATGATGTAGGACCCCCATTGTTCTTACCAAAATTTTAGTAGTTTTTCTTGATAAATATTTCCTAATTTGCTGTATGACTGGTTAATTTCTATAGTCCTGAAGAGGTTGTTTTTGGCAATTTTGTCCAGTTTTATCATTGATTTTTGTGGAGACTATTTGCCAGCCTCCTCACTTAGCCATTCTCAAAGTTCCACCCCCAGATAATTTCCTTTATGAAATTGAGTACTCTCTTGGGGCCATAGGCGAACATGTAAAAAATATGGGTGCATTTAAGACTAAACTTTGTACTACCAATTTAGTGTACCAAACATTTAGAGGTGAGTTTGTGCAAAAACAGTTATTTGAGCCTAATTTTTTGGGAAGGTGAGACTTCAGTACAGTCTTTAAAACTTTGAACAAGTGTGCAGGCCATCCTATTAACTGACAAGCCACTCTGTCCAGAATAATCTTGTCTGAGGTGCCAGTCAGCAGCTCAGGCTGGCTGTTGTAAAAATTCTATTTGGAGTAGAGTGGTGTCAAAAAGCGGTGTTCGTAACACAAAAATTGTATTCATCCTTTAGAAATTCTTAAAAACCACACTCTGAAAAACAAAACAATGCTTTTGTGGATTATTGAGCAGAAAACGCGCATGAGAAAAATGAAGTCTTAGGTTGTTCTGGGAACCATTTGCAAGGTAGGTTTGAGAGGGGATTAAATGGTGCACTAAGAGGTACTATTGAGATGTGTAGACCAGAGGAACGTGATTAGTAACAGGTGGCTGAACTAAGTACAAATTTTCTTGAGCTTTTGCCTTTAATGTATTATGTAATAACTGTGGTAGTATTTGTGAATTACAGCTTTCTTATCTGTAAAATAGGGTGAACATTTATTTTCTGTTTATTTCACATAGTTATGTGGATTACGATATTGGAAATAGAGATGAAAAAACAATCTGAGCACTATCTAGAGGTGCCACAAGATGATGGTTATCCATAAGAAATGAAAGTAGAAGATATTTGAAAACCACCCGTAGACTAGTCGGGTGAGACCTGAAGGGGTAGTTGAAAAGGATTTGAGCATCATAAGTAAAAAGATAATATTCGAAGGCCTAGTTGAAGGTATAGAGGTGGACTGTCCTAAATGTGGTAATTATGTCTATTTTCAGATCATTGCCTCACATTTTAGTATTAACCTTCCAAACAATTTGAAATGATGGATATGAATGCTATACACTTCTTTTTACAGATAATAAAATTATAGCACTAATACCTAATATTTAACTGTCTTATTCTAAAAATGATTTAAGGATTACTTCTCGTAGACAAAAAGATATTGCCTCATAAAAATTTCTCTAATTTGTTGTATTGTTTTTTAAATCTCAATTTTCACTGACCGTTTAAAAAAATACCACTGTCATCTTAGGCTGAAAGCCATCTATTAACTCACAACGGAATCGTCTTTTAAAAACATGTTTGTCCATGTCACTTCTTCATTGATTTATGAACCTTGACTGGATAGTTCAGTAGGTGATGCCACATAATATTGGAATTAATTTCACTGAAACTGAAAAAATAACATATTGTCATCTTAATTCCACATTAATTTTTACTTGGACTCCTGGAATCTTATTTTAATCCCTAAAATGTGAAAAGTATCTTCTAACAGTAATCAGTGTCATGAAATTCTGACATGATGATTTTCTAAAATATTGATTTTTAGAAGTTTACTTTCTGTCTTTCATTATAGACATCCCTGTAAGAAACATTGGCAGTAATAATCAGTATGTTATTTGAGAAGCTTGAGGATGTAGACTCTGTGAATTTGGCCTTTTTGCATTCGAATTCTGCCGTTGCCACTCAGTGTGTTAATATCCATTCCGACCTCAGGGTATTTTTTTAAAGGTTAAATGTGAATTTAACCTGCCAAAAGTAAGAATTTTACATATTAAGTAGAAAAATATGTAAAATACTTATACATATATCTATTACACATAATACTATAGTGATATATTTTATAAATATGTAAAATGTATATATGTAGATGTATAGACACAAACTCACATTTTCCCTGTCTGTGTGCGTGTTGTGTGTATCTATCTCTTTCTCTTACTTACTGCTCCACATCTCTAATGCAGAAGTAAGCTCTGTGAGTGCCATTTTCATCTGTTACGTTCACTCCTGAATTCATACCACCTAGAGCAGTGCCTGGCATTAAGTAAATATTTGATGAATCAATGAAGTTTCTCTACTTTTTAACCTTGCTATTTTAGGATTAGAAAATTTACCATGAACATTCATATTTATCAGATATTCCAGTTTTATTTTTTATAATTGATGAATGGAATCTTATTTTTATTTTATTTTCCATTTTGGAGATCTTTTATATGTGATTGCTTTATAAGGCTTGATTTAAAGCAAATATTAATTTAACTTTTAACTTTTAATTAAAGCTGTCTAGTTTTCAAACTCAAAGTATTTCTAGCTAATTCTCAAGACCTAGAGTGAATTGCAGTGATTTCTTATGCATTGCATTTTAGGTCGCTTTTGAACTATATGGAACTATAAAGTAATGAAACTATGAACATATATTTGCATGCATTACTTTTTATCCAAAATAAACCACTATTTTTTGTCTTCCCTGAGTGCTTTGTTGCTCCTAATCACATTTCTCAAAAATATATTTCTAGTAGCTCCTTTTAAAAGGTCCCTTTCAGATCAAATTTATTAATTATAAAACAAATTCAATCTTACTACTTTTTACTGATAGAACAGTATCATTTGACATAGCATCTTTTCCTGCCCTTCTTGCAATTTTCTTTTCTATTTTCTTCACCTTCCTGCTCCCCTTTTCTTTCTGGCGTTTTCCCTCACACTTGGCTGCCTTCGCATTAGCAGGCTAAGTGGCTCTATGTAAGCTTGTCCTTGGTCGGAGCTGTCTGCTGACTCTCAAGTGCCATAAGTGGCTGTAATTGAGAGAGGCAATGAGATGTTGAATAGCCAAACTGTAAATGGAAGATTCTCTGTCCTTACCTATAAAAAGAAAAGGAGCCTATAAAGGTAGCTATACAAACAAATTCAAAGACACATATAATAGTGTACTTTTGTTTTTGGTCTCAGTTTATGTGCAGCCAATACAGAGAGTTTCCAATAAACAATTTTTTTTTTTTTTTCGGTTTTGGTGGTTTTTTTCCTTTAATTAAGAAATGGAAATGTTTTGTTTACTTAGCACTTTGTGGTGCTGTTAGTTGTTTGGTTCCTTAGGGAGGGGTGATAAGGATTGAGGAAGTCACAGCCTCTGTTCTCAAGCAATTCATATTATAGTGTAGCTTTCAGCAAAATCGAGAAATCTACAAAGAGGTATAGGAGTGTCAGGGAAGATAAGATTGGTTTCGTCTGTGGCGAAGTGGGTTTCGTAGTATTCATGATAACTTTGTGAACTTAGTCATGCTTGGATGTCAGAATATATTTCCCAGATGGGAGGGAAAAATTAAAAGATCTAAAATATAATACTATTGTAGGCAAACCTGTAGAGAACAACCCAGGATTGTTTAGATATGCAGAATATTTGAAGATGAGTTATGCCAGTTCTTCGAAAACTAGGGAAAAAATAACAGTAAATAATTATTGAGAGAGCATGCTAGAATAATCATCCAGTGAAATTTAAGCAGTTGATTTAAAAATTGTTTTTCCTGTCCAAGCAGTCAAATGTGGCATTCAAGTATGAACTTAAATTGTTCTTGTGGTATAAAAACCTCACTAATTGTGCAAATACAAGTGGACACACTCCAAAAAACACAGCGAGTTTCATTGCCTTAATGTTTTTACGTCCCAGAACAAAATGCAATGCTTTCATTAGCTTCCACTAATTTGTTTTCATTTTATATCATAGTATATCTTATTTTAATCAATAGCGATTTGGTAAAGTAGAGCTCAATTTTGATTTTATGCTATTGACTTTCTGCCCTGTATCTATCTCATTCTTTATCCATTTGGGGGCAAAATTCTAGACTACATAATGGATTTTGTCATTGTTTAGCATATATATATTTACTTAACCTCCTGACTGCATACTTCCACTAATAGCATAAATAAATGCTAAATATAATAATAATTAACTAACATAGCTGATTCTCTTGTAAAGCTCTTTAAATAGACATACTAGAACATTCAAAAATTGATATGGCCAGTTGCAAAACCATTAGGAAACATTAACTGTCCAAAGAAAAACTACTTTGAAGGACAGTAGTATTTTCTGGGTGTTAAAAGTCTGTCTTATTATTTGTTTAATAAAATAAAAAGTGTCATGGTAATTTAAAGAAAAAACTCAAATACTTCTATAAATCTTTGATTCAAATAAACTTCTATTTTGGTTCATTTATGAGTTTTAAAATTTAAATTTATTTAGATTATTATAAATAAATAGGTAATAGTATTTGTATCTGTGTACATAAATAAGGGTGTGCATATATATATGTGTATGATTAGCTGTGCCAAGGTGTTTCTCAATTTGTTTTTTTGGCTGTTATCTAATGGTAAAAGTGATTAAGATTCATCCCAGTATCTTAGCTAGAAGAGCTTGTGGCAAGAAATAAGGACATTTCTTGGAAATAACAAAATTTATATTAAAAACTGTTATATTCATTAGCAAAACTATAAAATCAATAGCTACCAAATCCATCAACTTCCCCAGTAAACATTAAAATAAATTATGTAGTACAGGAAGATGTGTCATCTGTATCCTAAATTTCCTCTACATACAAAAGTTCTGCTGTGATAGTTCAGGCATTGTGGAAATCATAGACTTGGCAAGCAACAAGAAATATTCAAATAGCCTACAACTGTAACCATGTAATAAAATATTTAATTTTCTCATCATCAAATTTAACATTCTTTTCTTTTTTTTTCAGACATGTTTAATTTGGTATATCGGAGGAAAAAAACATGGATTTTTAGCAGTTGAAGAGGAAATTAAGGTAATTAGATTATTATTGACCTCCATATAATTTCAAAATTTATTTAAATATATTTATCTTCAAGCTAATATATTATTTTAAGTCTTTCTTTGTCACATTGAAATGTCAGCATATTTGTAGTGTGTTACTAAAATGGAATTTTACATATTTTGGAAAATAAATTGCCATTTCTTGTTATACATTTTCCAAAAATTATATTTCTTGTGAACAAATTATAAATGATTAATTCAAAATATTTCTTTTGCGAGGAAATATACTCCAGCTATATGAAAAATAAATGAGCTAAAAATAACAGTTTTGGCAGGTCTCCATCTTTTTGGAAAGGCACGTGTGTTTTATTACTTTCTTATCTAATATAGAATAATCATACTGAGTTTCTTTTTCCAGTTGCTGCATGTACACTAACACAATGTGTTAAAGTCATTTTTGTTTAATTCATTCTGTTTTAAATTACATATTCAGAATGTTGAATATAAATATTAGGTAACAAAATATATTCATTTGGTAGCAACAAGATGTTTAATATTAAGCAAATTACTTTCAAAAATTATGTTGTTATTTATCAGAAAAATGTTTATGAAGTCCAGTATAAAACATTTCAAGGGGTGTAACTTAAAGTCAATATACATATTTATATCTTCCCCAGAAAATCATAGAAGGCAAAACAGGCCTGCATATTTATTAATCAAGCAACAGTACAATTGGAATTTCCTCTTTTCTTGAAGTTACTGAAAGTAATTCCTGTAAGGTTACTTTGTGAAGTTTAGCATATATGTTATTATAAATATACAGCCTAAAATTGGAAATATTAATGTTCTTACTGTTGTTCGTATTAAAATGATTTAAGTTCATTTCATTTTGAATTATTGGCATAATTGATATGTGCTTTAATTGCTATCATTTATTTTCAAATATTCTGTACTTTCCTCTGAGCTTTAAGAGTAATGAAATGAGTGACTTAAAATAGTAAATATATTGTACTTGTCTTTGTATGCACTAACATTTTTCAGGTGATGTTTTGTCTTTTAAATATTTTTGCCTTTATTTCTTTGTCATTGTTTTCTTCCCCATATTTATTTCTATATGCAAACAATGTTATTCCTGTTTTACAAAAGAGACATGATTGAATCTCTTTCATTTATAATTTCATTGTCAGTGTTTTCTTCTTCACATTCATTCACATATACAAACAATTAATATGATTTCCTTCTTTCAGAATAGATATGATTGATTGTCTTTCATTTGTATCATTAGCTTATTTTTACATTAACAACTAAATTTGGCAGATATCCTTTTGCTGAGTTCAATATGTAATGGTTTATTTGGTACTTAATGTTAGTCAAATAAATAAATAGACAAAACATGCTCATGCAGTCATCCTTTTTTAAAAATTAATCCAAACAAACTTAGATATATTTGTAGTGGACATATTAAAAACTGGTGAGAAAGATGAAGCACTATAGATACTATTGTGCTCATTTTGAAAGAGTTCCTGACAGATTGCTAAAGAAAGAAAGGTGGGAGCAGTTCACTTCTGCTGAAGGCTCCGAAACCTTCAGAGAAGCTGCGAAATTCACGGAGGAGTTGTTGTGACAGGGAAGGTGACGTTATACATTCCAGGCCCACACACTCGTTTGTGAAAGAGTCCATAAAAGAGCAAGGATGGCCATTGAGAGACTGCTGTTTCCTTTGAATAATCAGAAAGCATGAAACCTTAATGATATTTAATTTAATGATTGCTACAGGTCCCAAATATGAAGCTTCTGGAGAAATCATAAGGATTGTTATCATGTTGAATGTTTCACAGATTTCTAATGGTTTAATTCATATATAATTCATGTGCCATAAATTCATCATTTTAAAGTATACTTTTTCTTTTTTTTACTATATTCACAAAGTTGTGCAGCTATCACTGCTCTCTAATTTCAGAATATTTTTATTTTCCCAAAAAGAAAGCCTGTATCCTTTAGCAGTTATTTTCTGTTCCCCTCTTCCCCCACCCTCGGGCAAACACTAACATACTGTCACTGAGGGTCTACTGTATAAATAGAGTCATATGTTTGGGCTTTTATGTCTGTCTTTTTCAGTTAGCACAACATCACCCTTGTAGCAGGAATCATTACTTCAGTTTGTTTATGGCTGAATAATATTCTGTTATATGGATATATACCACATTATGTTTATCCATTTTTCAGTTGATGGACTTTTTTAGATGTTTAAGCTCTTATGAATAATGTTGCTTTGGAAATTTCTGTACAAGCTTTTGTGTAGGTATATGTACTTATTCCTCTTGGATATATACCTAAGGTTGAATTTCCTGGGTCATATGTTAACTGTATGTTTAGCTTTTTAGGAACTTCCAAATTGTTTTCCAAGGTGGCCACACCATTTTGCATTTCCACTAGAACCATGCGAATGTTTCAATGTTTCTGTATCCTTGCTAAAAGTTATTGTCTGTCATTTTGATTACAGCCATCCTGTTGGATGTCAAATGGCTACTTGTTGGGATTTTGATGGTGGTGGTTGTTTGAAAGGGTATTTTAGTGTACTCATGTTATATGTATTTGGTTAAGTGCATTTATGGAATTAACTATCATTTTTAACTAAACTAGTCCTCACATTTCAAAAATTGCTTTTATGTAGTCCTAACATCAACATTGGAAAATGAAGATGATTTTATTAATACATGCTCAAGACAACAATAAGAAAATGGCAGCTAATATTTCCCCTACTTCTATTACAGGTTATTTTTCGGTTTCATAACATAAACACTAATCAGACTTATTAAGGAGCTAACCAAAAACTTAAAATAATCAAGAAGATTGACATATGGATTTGACTCTTAAATCCCAAGTGATTAAACTTGTCTTAAGAATATATTTTGTTTTGAGGTATAAGTAAATGATAGTACACAGAAGCATAAATAGTAAGAACTGTAATAACATCTAGAACATAAATGTAAAACTCCTGGTTTTGTTCACCAGAGTTTATACTGAGGGTCAGTCTAACAATTTACAAATTTTTACTAAACTTTCTGATAAATCTTTTAGAAGCTTCATTTGAGATTTAACTACAGGGAAGGAATACAGTCACTGGAGAAAACATAGCTCTTTCTGCTGTGGTAAAAATGCCTGTTGTCATGTACAGCAGTTGGAGACCTCTTCCATCTTCAACCTTCTCTGCTCTCCAGCTGCGCTGGCGTCATTGCTGCTTGTGCAACACACTAGGCCACTCTACATAAGAACCTGGGTCTTTCTACCAATCAGTCTCTTCTGTTATTCACATAGCTTGATTCCTAGACTTCAGGTATTCTCTTCTCATGGCAGCCTTCCCTGCACATTCGTATTTAAAATGAAAACTGTTTGGGAGTACCCTCTGCCCCATCTCCTGCCTTATTTTTCTTCAGAACATACATTACCACATTATACAAATTTGTTTAATGCCTCCTTCCGGTAGTTTATATATTCTAAATATTTTCTCTTTATAGCATCTTTTTAATTTCTGTTTTCAATGTGTCTTCATATTGTGCCATTGGCTTTGCTCATGGATTTGTATTAGAAAGATAACTCTGGAAGCAGCATGTGTGAGTATGTGACTGAAGGCAGGTAGATTACCTAGGAAATATTTGCAATAACTCAGGTGAGGTATGAGAAAGATCCAATTTAACACAACAACAATGGAGATTGAGTGGTAGTGACACATTTAAGAATATTTAGGGCTGGGCGCAGTGGCTTATGCCTGTAATCCCAGCACTTTGGGAGGTCAAGGTGGGTGGATCACAAGGTCAGGAGTTGGAGACCAGCCTGTCCAGGTAGACCAGTAGAGACCAGGTGAAACCCCGTCTCTAATAAAAATACAAAAAAAAAACAAAAAAAATAGCCAGGCATGTTGGCGGGTACCTATAATCCCAACTACTCGGGAGGCTGAGGTAGGAGAATTGCTTGAACCCAGAAGGCAGAGGTTACAGTGAGCCGAGATCATGCCATTGCCCTCTAGCCTGGGCAACAGAGTGAGACTTCATCTCAAAAAAAAAAAAAAAAAGAATACTTGGAAGGCAGATTCATAGGTCTTAGTGACTGATTGCATTTGAATAGTGAGAGAAAAGTTGAAGTCAGAAATGAGTCTCAGGTTTGAAAGTGGCAACCCTGTTTGTGATGGCGCCATTTATTGAGCTGTGTAGGAAGCAGAATTCTTTGCTTATTTGCTTTTATACAATTTTTATACAGTAACGATGTAATGTCTTCACAGAAATAGTAATGTCTATTTTTTTACAGAAATAATACCCAGAGCTAGGTGTTAATTTTAATCTCTAGTTAGGAGTGATTTCTACAAATATAACACTTTAAACTGAAGGTCATTAATTATCTCTCTTTTTCTGTCCCCTTTTAAAATAGAAATTTAGAAAAGAAATTTTGGTTAGCTATGAGATTATGTTTTCTAATTAACTTTAAAACCACAGTCAGAATGTGCAGGATGTAGAAACCAGCCATGAGCAGAGTAAAAGCACATTAATTATTCAGACAGCCATTCCTGCTTATTCCACTCTTGGAGATATCGTGGCTGTCAGAATCTGTCAATTGTATATAGTTAGTGCCCTTCAGAATTTACATACATAAATGGTGACCTTTGGAAATCTGCATAAAGATAAGTCTGGCATTTCGAATGATACCTGCCAGTCAGTTGAGCAAAAAGTTGTCAGTTACTACTTAATCCACAGAGAGAGCGGGCTGTGAAGCTGTGAACAGCAAATGGAATGTATACAAAACAACAAGAATATTTTTTTCCCCACCAAAACAAAAATAAAATTCATTCTTAACAGAATTTTACAAAAGTTATAACTAATTACTTGGATCAGTAATTTTGGTGTGTATAATTTTCTCACTAAATCTGTTAAAATGAATGTTAAATTTAAAAATAACTAATTTTAGAATTTAGCTATTTTAAAATAAATGTTTATTACTAGATTTGTATGATATAAAATGAGTGCATACACATTGTGATG